CAATTAGAAATACACGACGTATAACTATTAGAATATTTTATTATTGTTATAGACTTTAGAAATCATGTAAAAGTTCATGTACAGCCATATTAATTTCATATACTATGATGGTAGTACTTTATATTTGATGCTATTATGTATTGTTATGAGTCACATTTGTATTGCTATTAGAATACTCTTAAATTTAAAGAGTCAAATATATTATTATTATACGTTGAAGAAGCTTTAAATTGACAAACAATCATAATAATTTCAGAGACTTTGAGAGCAGTATTCTAGTATCTTATCAAATTAATAGATGAGATGTTACTGTTAGATGCGCTTTAAATATCAAAGGAATATTATGATTAAGTCCTTTCCGAATTATAAACAAATGTAAATCAGCTCATTTCGTTGATATTAGTACGTTTTCTACATTTTTCAATTCATATGGAGAAATATTTATTTCAAAAATCATAAGCAGTATTATTATCTTTGCCCATTGGTATACGTATAGTATTGCCATTAAAATGGTTCCAAGAATCAAGTAATATTCCTGCACTTTTAAAAATTATAGATTCAGTTTGGTAAATTTCATATCAGTTCATAACAGCTTGAAGAATTATAACGTTTATTTCCTATGGCATGCATGTATTAATTTCGTCAGGATAGATTTAAATAGCAGAATAAATTATTACTATATAGTATCTGTCAAATAATGACAGGTTCATTTCTTACGAGTTCATAAATCAACCTATCCATTCTTATCAGAGTCATACATTAGGCTAGTACAGATAGATTTTACTGGCGCACTGACTATTGACAATAAAAATTTAGTTTTTATTATACATTGAATCTAAATTTTTTAAAATACCTTAGAAATAATATTAAAAGATGATTTTGTACTAATAGTTAAAGATTATAATATTTTAAATGATCAGTTGCTATCCGTTCTAAACTTATTATACTGTCGTTACTAAGGAGTGATTGATGAGGAATTAAATTTATCGTTAGTTATGCATAAGCCTAGAAATATACATCATAAGAATAAAATGTAGGGTTACATTAGAGATTCGACGATAAGGGGATTCTTCTACTATTCTATTATCCATGCTGATAGTAATTAAAGTGGCGATTGCCTGTAGCTGGATTAAAATGGCGATAATCTTATCATCGTCATCAGCGTTGCTGTAAATCTGCCATGACGGTAATACTAGCGAACAAGGGCATCAACTTCCTGATTTTTATGCCTAATTGTGACATCAGGTACCGCACATTTTCTCTTTCTTGTTTCTTGGAATTTCTTGACGTCATGATCAATTTAATGTAGTAAGTAAAAAATAGTTATAGTAATAGGTATGATAAGCTATTGATCCTTATCCTTGGCTATTAAGAGGATATCAATTAATTTATGCCTTAAATCAATAGTTTCAACAAATTGATGATAGTGTGGGAATGCTTGATTAATAATCCATAGGAGAGTAATTGAAATAAGTCTAAACCATTGTTTACCTTATGAATTGGCATTGCAAGATGGTTCATGTGATTATAAACGAAGAGGGCTTGGAATAGAAGAAGAAAGGATCATTTCCCACCTCTTGTATTCTTCAATTGATCCTTTCAAATGGTTTAGAGTTGTCAGTTGTTTTGTTTCTCAACTTCCGATGATTCTACTGCTATTATCATCGGTCCAGACTTATTCATCACGCTAGCAAGAAAATCAAACTGATCGATGGTCGATAATACTGCGATTGTAGAGGAATCTTGAATGAACTACTAGCGATTATTGGACTAGAATATCGCTTTGAATATATATTAAAATCAAGCTAGTATTCGTAATATCCTACTAGAAGCGTACTCTACTATAATCATGTTACTTACTATCATCGATTACGAGCCTATTCTATTGCGTAGAAGGATTTCGATAGCATTGATAGTGTCCTAGATATATACCTATATCCTAATTTTAGACGTCTTCTATAACTTCATTGAATTGAGAAATTGTCGAAAACTGACCGTCTATTGCGGAATTCTACTTCGACTGTAAGCTTTCTCCAATAGAATTCGATTGGATCGACTATTGTGTATAGAGTAATTATCGTAGAATCTCGCTACAACAGTAATCATCCTGCTACAAAATTGAGCAATAGCTAGGCTATATAAGCGTGCTAGTAGGATCCCGTTACAATTATAATCATCTTCCTTTGAAAATAAAGACGATAACTACAACTAGTCAATCACATTGAATATTATTTAGCTGTTAAGGTTTGAAGTAGTGCATTTAACTTCTACCTCGTTTTTCGATTCTATTTAATCTCATTATTATTGCTTAGCAATTGTATACGCGTCTATGATGTATTATTTATTGTCGTTATTCAAAGGTTGTGGATTACTTTTTTCTAGCCGTATACGGTATGTGTAAAAAGTATTAGAAAGGACTTAATTAAGCGTAGCTATAAATTAATTATTAAAGATGTTGATCAGGTATGGGATTGATAGAGAAAGAAAGGCGAGAATAGGGATTGTATGAGTAAAAGGTACGAGTTTTAATAATATAATAAATTAAGCAAACTAATTAGTCGCCAGCGGGGTGAAACCTTCTCATAATTAACGCGTAAAAGGCTAACAGGATCATGATGTTTACCTACTGGATATGCTGTGAATAGAGGAGAGGTAATCATGATGAGAAAAAAATATTGTTGGAGAGGAAGAAGATGATGATGATATTGACGACAATAATGATGATGAGTACGAACAATGGAATAAATAAATCAATGAGTTTCCAGGAGGAAATATATACTTATAATATTATCGTCATCATCGTCGGCTTATCAATGATAGTCCAGCATTGATTTTAAGCTATTGATGGTAGAATCAAGCTATTTGTCTAATGTTGTGTTAATCATTCAATTAACTTTCTAACATGTTTTTTGCACATATAACATTCATGATCAGTCAACTTGATAGGCAATAAATCGCTATGAACAGCTATTCTAGTTTGCCATCGTCATCGGCTTGTCAATGATTTTCTAGCATTCCTTTTAAATTATTAAATAGTCGAGTTATTTATCTACTCCTATGATTATCATTAAATTAGTTTTTCATCATGTCTTTGTGCATAATAGCTTTTATAATTGGTCAACCTGATATGCAATAGATCGCTATGGAGAGTTAGTCTAGTAGAAAATTATTATAGAACTTTACATGGCATATGATTACTTTCGCGATGATCTGCGTTTGGTATTCTATCAAAATCAGCTACCTTGATACGCCGTAGACAGCTGTTAACAGATACTCTAATGAACAAATTATTGTAGAACTTTACGTGGCATATGATTACTTTTACCATGTGTCTTCGATTGCGGTTCTGCCAAAATCAGCCTATCTAATCGGTAATAGATCGCTATAAACATTTAATTTAGTAGTTGATCATTGCACAATTTTACGCGGTGAAGGATTACTTTCACAATGTGTCTTCGAACGCTATTTATCAAAATCAGCCAACTTGAAAGGCATTAGATCGCTATTAACAGATAGCCTAGCAGAAAATTGTTGCAGAATTTTACGTGACACATGACTTCCTTTACGATGTGTCTTAAGATTGCTGTTTTACCTAAATCAGCCTACTTGATAGGTAATAGATCGCTATGAACAGTTAGCTTAGTGGAAAAATTATTGCAGCACTTTACGTGGCACATGATCACCGTCAAGATGCATCTGCGATTGCTATTTGGTCCAAAAACGTAAAATATTACGGCTGAAACTGTCAGTATTCGCAATAATCGAATTTTGCCAATAGCAATCAACTTAGTTGTACTATTCGAATCAACTCCTAAGTTCATTTTACACGTAATCATCATGATGAATTTTGTTTGACAACAATGGGTAGGATAGGCAAGATTGCTTGTTGTGCGTAAATCATCATCCGGATTGAATGCAGCTCAGGAGTTGACGTAAATATAGTATAGCGATAATTAATTTCTTCCTCTAGTTATTATTGACTTCCACATAATACTATCCATCCTTTGAAAGATTGATTTGGTTTTCCATAGACGGGCCTGCTATTCAATAGAAATTCTATTTTTAATTTCTATTTCTAATAGGCGTTCGACAGTATGATCACTTCTAATGTTGGTTCTACTTGTCTATCAACCTTTGTCATCGAATATCAATAAGATTAAAAGAATGGATTGAACCAGGTTCTATCGACAATGATAGCCATCGCCATGATTCTATCGCTCCATCAAATAGTTGAAGATGATATGACAATGGTGGGAAGAGAACAACTCACAACCTCCTTGGCTCTTGTATTTTTCTTTATTTGGTATAATACAAAATGAAAATCAAGAGACAGACAGATAGAGCTTCTTCTCTATCCATATCCTTTCTCTTCAATAGTGGGTATTCTACGTGAGCAGTAGATTGTTATTCGAGGCTGAAGAAGAATGATCCATTAGCCAGTCATCCATGGAAGAATCTATTTTTCATTTTTTTATTTTAATTATTTCTATATTTCAATACCGGCGGAGCATAATTCTGTTATTGGCGCTATCCATCAATGAATCGATCTACGTAGCGATCTGTGTTATTCTAATTCCACGACCATCGCTTCCGTCATCTTCAATTCAATACATGTGCTGTCCATCTATTTGATCATCCTATTCTAATTATTTAAGCAAGGACAATTATGACATTCCCATTCCTTAAAGGAGTCTATCTTTCATCGCATTGCATCATTGTCTTGTGGCTAGTCTTACCTCCATCATCTTATTTAATAGTAGCGTCAAAGTTCTCCTCGACATTGATAAAATTACCTTCTTGCTGAATTTTTAACCTTATAGCATCATCTTATGCTACTATTACTCCGTTAAATATCATACTTTCCATCTCTTACAATTGATTGGAGTTCATTTTCGTATTGATATCAACTCTCAGTTGTTCTCCTTTATTCTGTAGTGGAACTATAATAAAAATATAGTCCAACATTTTCTATCGTTCTATCTAGTATCAATTCGATCTTGATGGATAACGGGACAAAACTTCATCTATCTTCCTCTTCTGGGCATCATTTATATGTATGTATCCTTAAAATTCAAGTCAAAAATGCAACACAAATTGTCGATCCTTACATCACAGTCAGCTTAAAAGGTAAGCCCAACTACATGTTCAATCCATTCCATGTTAGGATTGATGAGGATTAAAGATCTTGTTACGCTAAAAGTATTCATTGCAATAGAGGTAACTTTGATTTATTAACGTTGCTAAGGATACTGATTAATCTATAGCTGGTTGCTAATGGATCCATAGAACACCCTCTACATTCATATTGTAAATCCTAACATGATTTTGAAGAGGAAATTTTTAAATTTTGATATTCATAATCACACCTGTGTTACTTTCACTATAAATTAACAAATTGATTCGTTTCCATCAGTGTATATGTTGGAATATTTCTACAGTTGTAATCGATTTTACACATCTTACATAGGATATCAAGTTCTATTTGATAGTCTAAAATATTCAAAGTTGTTGATGACCAGATCATGCAGTTGCTGTAAAGATGAGTGCCGTTTCATTTCTGATTTAACTTAAACAAAAGCGATAATTTGAATTTAATAGAAATTCAAAGTAAACTTTAGAGTAGCTGAGGCTATTTATTTACACTTTACTAATTTCTACTAAATCAAATTATTTCCTGTTCGATAAATCAAATTAAATTTGTTGGTTTAAGATAGTTTAGGGAGAATATATGTTCTTAGCATCGAGCTAGGGATATTTTAATAGTAGAGATGCCATTTTTTAATATTATTTCTTTTCCTCCTCCATATTGAATTCCAACGAATATATTTACGATTTATCAAAAGAAAATTAACTGGATTAATTTATTCTTCGATATGACAGCGAAAGACTCTTCGTAGTCCGTAAAATTTACCTGGATTATGTTGATAGATTTATACAACTTTGATGCTATTTAATCAAGTAAAATGAATTGAATTTGAATGCTGGATTTAGTTTCATATCAATATACATGTGCCAAAACATGCCAAATTGTAGCTCTATACCAGTTTACTGGCGTACTTGTAAAAGTTGAAAGCACTTTATTCCCAGATTTCCATAGCTAGGATGACTCAATTGGACATCTCCCAAGTGTATAAGATTTGAGTAATTGAGTAATTATGCTACCGCAGTATTTTCATTCTCAGTAGGAATGATAGCACTTCGATTTCCTGATTTAATTTTGCGAAATGAATTTCATTTATATGAAAATTGGAAAGATATTTGATCCTTTTGATAGACATGAGCGTACGTGCAAGAATACTGATAGAGCTGCAAACGTAATTTAAGCAGATTGGGTTCTGCACTTAATTTCCCTACAATTTTGATTTATTTGAAATGATGAAATAATCGCAGCTAATGACAAATGCCAATGTTAGAACCCAATTGCTACAGAGAAAGGCCATCGATTTTTATTTATTTTCTCTAGAATTTTAAATACATTAAAAATAATCGTATGGGTAGGTTGATGACATTAACAATGATAGATCCAATTTTATAAGGTTTGAGTTTCCTCAATTTTGAAGTATTTAAAGATTATGATCAGGGTGATCATAGCAGCAATACTTCCAATTTTATTTATTTTATCTGAAATAATCATGTAGGCTACTTAATAACACTAGCCATGATAGATCCAATTTTAGAAAGCTTGAATTCTCCGCAACTTTGAAGTATTTAAAAATAATAATGATCAGAGTGGCTTTGGCAGTAACACATTCAATTTTATCAATTTCATTTAATGCTTCCCCATTTCAAAGCATTACTATTAATGATATGGATGTAACGATGACATTAGCAAAAATCGCTGAAATCATATTTTATTACAAGAAAGAAATGTGATGCATGTAAGTCTATTACATTTGATTACTCTATAATTTGCAGCATTGAAGATAATGGTAGAGACATCATGATGACGTTAACCGTAACAACTTAAATTGCATTTAATAATTTGAGAGGAATGTGACAAATTGGAATTGTCTATTTCATTTCTCTACAATATTAAAGCCTTTCAAGTAATATTATGGAGATCATGATGATATTAGCCGTAGCACCTCCAATTTCGTTTTATATCTTCAGTAGACAGAAATAGGATAAATCTCGTTTTTTATATTCCTCCTTCCCCAATTTTTGAAGCAATTCAAATAATGAAATAGTAGTAACGATGGTGTAGCTAAAATTACGTTTTTCTTCGAAATAAATACTGTGAATTTCACCCCTTTTATTGAATATCACTATAATTTCTCTATAATTATAAAGCCATTAATAGAATCATATGAATGCAGCGATGATATAAACAATAATTTATGAATCATGTTTTATTGTCAGACAATACAGATGAAATTATTCTCATCCATTTCATTTGCTTGTTCCTAAATTTTAAAGCATTTAAGATGATCATATGGATATAGCATCCACTTTAGTCATAGCACTTGATAGTGCACTTTATTATTCGAAAGTTATAGGATGTTCTTTATTTCTTTTAGTTAAATTTTCTAGTACAGTGTTTTTAGGTATTTAAAGTAATCATACGGAAGCAATAGTGATGTTATGCCTTTAAATTTGAATAGAAATCACTTATAAGAGAGAAATATGATAGAATTCAATCATCATTGTTAGTATTTTAATTATTCCATAATTCTTAAAGTATTTAATTCTAGTCCTATGCATCCAGTAATAGAGAGAGCAATAGTAGTTCGAATTCGGAATTACTAAAGAAGAGACAACCAAATCGATTTCATATACGATTCCTTATCCGAAATAACATTTAACAATAGTTGAAGGATTTACAGTTATGCTATATTATCTTAAAATAATAAGTGAGAATAGCTTAATATGATAGAGAAGGAAATTTGAAGATGAGTAGAGTTGATACAAAATTTAAATTCAAAATATAACAGTACTCTATATTGAATTCTATATCAAAAATGTAGATTTCTATGCCATATATCATTAATCCATGCATAGTCTAGAAATGATGATTTAGAATGCAGTAGAATTGAAATATTTTTCTAAAATTCTACGTAATTATGAGATTATATTGATATCAGATTTGAATTCTTATTAAATATGAAAATAAGGCGAACGAAATTAATTTGTTTGTAATGATTTGTTTAGCTGGTTTACACTCTAAATTAAGGTGTCAAATTATCTACGCAAAAGATGGCGACGATAGATGTTATCTATTTGTTTCCAATTATTTTAAAATTATAATGACTTTACAGAATTGCTTACGTAGATATTGGGTCAGTTCATTTGCTACTCCCCAGTAGTCTGTGCCTCGATGATCGAAGTTTAATTTCCAATCAGCTTGAGCTAATTTAAAGACAGCTACGATATAAAATTGAATGAAATTCTTTAGCAATCAATTACTAATTGAATACGTTAAATTAATGGATACCCTAGATTGCAGCCAAGTATTTTAATGATAAAGAGCTACTAAGGTATTGAAGAAAGGCACATTCTACATGGATGATTTTATTAGATTACTTGCAATCCTATTTCTTGCGGTAGTCTTTAGTAGTTAGCCTTGAGATAAATCAGCGATAACACAGTCTGGTAATTAGTCAATAGTTGGAAAGCAATTAAAGCAAAACAATTTATCGTTATGCAAATAGGAGAGACTAACCTTCAATATCAATGACACCGTCTCCAATAGTGTACGACAATAGATTAATTATGCAAAGATACCTTATAGAAATGGTTGATTGAATTGTTAACTTTAAAGGTGTCAATGCATCACAATACTTTACTATATCGATCGATTTATATTATAATGGCAATGAAATGATTTATTCGAAAAGAAAAATTTTGCTCGCTATGTATGTTAACGTACGTTTATCCTGCTCACTATATCGATAGATTTATTGTGCAAAGATACTGAAATCGTTTATTTAGAACAAGAAATTGTTTATTCTATGAAGCTGTTAATGTGTCTTTTCATAGCGATGCAAGTGTTCTAAAAATATCTTCATAATATCGACAGATTTTACAAGGGTACTACAAGTATTGAACTCAGACAGAAAAATTTTGTTTTAAAATGATATATACGTATATATTCATCGAAATAAAATCTATTATAACTAGGCATTTTCAGCGAAGAAACTGAGATTGCTTCTCCAAAGACATAGACATTTATTTGATAAGCTATAGATAGATAGTTTTACTTCTTGTAGGTCTATAGATAGATTTATTCAGCAAGGATGCTCGTAATTGTTTATCTGAAATATTAAAAATACATTTCCTACACTTATAGGAAAGGTTTAAATGAATACGGAGGTCCTATAAACGGTAGACTAATAGTTCCATTTATCTTCACGGTACTTTACTTTTAACTAAATCTTCGAATTTAAGGATCGTTAAGGGTAGCATCACGTCTATTGACTACTTTAAGACTTTTACACTCCTTCATTTCTAATGAATAAATTATGGTGCATTAATTTAAGTTATACCAGCGAAATTTTCTTGTCTTTTCGACAATGACTAAATTCATTATTTCATAATAATAAAGCCAAGATTTATGGATGACAATGGTAACTAGACTATCGGTTTTGTATTATAATATAGCTAATTTTAGTAATCAGTGTGTCAAAATACTACACAATCACGTTTTGTCGAAACATAGAATTGATCACGTACCATTTTTTAAGCTGTTACCGCCCATAAGCAGTCTGTCTTGATTACAAATTCGATGAAGATAATTGTTTGATACTTTATTACCTAATCAGCAATTTAATGATGGCTACAGATATGGAGAAAAGAAAGTAAAAGTTATATTTAATAAGAATTCATTCAGAATGGATAGTAGATACTCTGATTGCTCAATTGATTCTACTTATTTTACTAAGAAAAATTATATGGCATCAACTTTTCGAGAATCGCTCAACTAAAATAAAAATCCATCGAAATTACGTAATTTAGATCTGATTTACTAGATGATAAAGCGATTAATTACCAGTATGGGATTAAATATCTCATTCCATGTTATATTGTCGTCCTTAAGGTGTATTTATAGATATTTTTATAAAATATTCGTAGAATAAGGATATTGCTGGTGGTGATTTACGCTGGTGATGCCAATATTTACGTCTTTCTTTATCGGCCGTAATGATTAAAAATTTCGACATTTAATCAATCTGAACCCATAACATTTCACTTTGATCTATTTGCATTCTTTGAATACACTACAGATAAGTTATTGGTTTATGAAAATTGTCAATACCTATTAGTACCTAGAAAATTGTGCATCGTGACTGCCACATAACTAGAACTAGGAGCGATTGGTCTGTTGGATAATTAATAATTGTTAATGTCTTCTAATAGTAAGAAGTATGGCCATAATATAGCAAAACTTGTGTTATAATAAAGCATATATTTAAGGGTCTAATTTCTGAGGGGTTAAGGAAACGTTTATATCGTAAGGATATGATGGACATCATGAAGTTATTTTCAACGTCTAATAATATAATATAAACGGTAGCTATACATCATATTTAATCCTACCACTATTTGAAAGTCCTTTCAACAATTTTTTCATTTGTCAGTTAGATAAATTTATTTGATTTTATCATTTCCGTCATTATCTAATTAAACGTAGCTTAATAACAAAATTTTAATGTGATATTCTTGTTACTAATAACAATAATATAGGCGTAAAAGAGGAATGCAATCGTTAAATCTCCAATTATATTATTAATACATAATTTGATATTGTTCTAACGCATTACTTTCGGTGATAGTTACTATTTTCTCTAACTTATCATAATCTATTTTACGGTATCTTCCTTTTACTTATTACCCATTGAATTCTAAGTCTGAATATTTGATTATTATTTGATTTCATCATTTCCGTAAATGCCTAGCTAGACCTAGTTTCATAGTGAACTTTCAATATCTTATTTTCTCACTTATAATAATGCTGCAGCATAAATAGGAACACAATCTTCAAATCTTTAATGTTATATATTACTATAGGTATCGATATCATCCTAAAGCATTACTTTCAGGAATTTTTATATTCTCTAGCTTATTATAATTTATGTAAAAAAATACTATAGATGTTATGCGCGTGGATATATAATATATGTAGATATACACTATATAGATGTTATAGATATGCTATAGTATTGCAGATGATATTATCACACCGAAATAAAACGAAGGGATCGTCATAGTAGTACTGGTCAAAGTTGTATTCCTCATCTATCTAGTCATTAATTGTTTTAGTTAGAAATTTAACGTTTGATCGGATTAGTTATTAACGCCTCTCATTTTTTTGCTATCGATTCTCCATACAGATCGTCAAGGTATGGACTTGTGCGATATTCAAAATACGCCAATAGCAACTATTAAAGAAGGAAATGAAATATACTTTAATAATAATATTGCCATACCAATACCTCTAACTAAGGTGCCGAAAGGTGAGAAATGGTTATATAATAGGCTGCACTAATTTTGGAGAATCTGTAATACTTGGTTGATTAAATTGACAAATCTCATACAGCACATAAAATAGACGACTGAAAGTTATTAATTTCTCGGCTTAAATACTGGATATTTAACCTTATAGACGCGGCTATCTTTTTCGAATTGAAACATTTTAAAGTTAAGAAGAAATCAACAAGTATAAAATGTTTCGCATTCCTAGAAGAAAACCAAATGAAAGAAGGGCATGTTTGTACAGAATTGTAAGTTTTGATTCGCTCTCTACTTTTTACTGATAATATATTTAATACAGGAGCGAAATATTTTAAAATTCGATAATTGAAGTACTTATCCTGTATATTACTTATCCTATCGATGTTTCATATACTTATGGTAGTAGTTATAAGATTGTACCAAACTTGTTTTAACTTCAGTAGAGCGACAAGATAATTTATACATCGATGAAAGATATAATTATCCTGTATATTTTCTAATTACATCATTACTCATTTATTAAAGTTGCAGGTATTGAATTCTATTCTAATATTTTAACGTTCTCTTGCTCCTAAAGGTACAAAAAACCTGTAGACTACAAACGTAGAAAGTTATCCTTGTTGACAAGTCAACCAGTTTTCTTACATCTTGATCTAGCGATTGTATAATCAAGCATAAAAACATGTACAATAGCAGTTAAAAGTTTTAAGAGCACAAGACATAAATCAAATTCTACCTCTGGCATCTACTACCATGCTTACCTATGGTGAAAAATTTCTTTTCAAGCTAACTTTGTCCTCAAATATAGATTTATGGAGTTATCACTCGCTGGCAAATATGATCAAACCCGATAGGAAATATTTCTTTGAGCAGTTAACTTGAGATTAATTCTTGGTAATTAATGGAAGTTATGTCTACATAATGTTATTTTCTGGTCTTTGGCTATATTCCGATTAAATAATTCTCTTTTGCTCATCCCTTCAATTTGTTTTATTATTAACTTTAAATGTAAATAAGAAGATTTTCATCTTCGTCCTGGATGTAATTATACCTCGAATGCAATCTCACTTAAAATTTAGATCGGATAAAGTAGGCTATCTTCTAATCTTTCGATCGAGTTTCAAGCAAATTACTTTGATATAGGAGAGCTTTGACTCTATGCATACTCATACAATTTCGAGCCTACCTTTTAATATTTGGATTACATTTAGTCAAAGTTAGACACACACTTAATTAGCAAACTCATTTTCTTATCTCTATTATATGTAGCTTTCAATATTCAATTTTGAAATAATAACCAAATGGGTCCAATTAAAGCAAATATTCTCCATCCCTTAACTTAAAGTCATATTCAATTGACTATCGTAAGATTTTATCTGGATAGCTGCCATACTTTAACGCCAATGCCAATGCTGCATCTGTTATGAAATAATGACAACACTGGTTTTATTTTATGGCAAGAATTTTCCTTCCGCAAGATTGAAGTTACCAATCTCAAATTCAATTATCAAGCCTTTTCCGTTTAATCGACATAAACAAATTATCAACCTTAATTAACAATATTACTACAGTTTATATAATTGAAAGTAATTCAGCTATAAGTCAACCGAAATTTCCAATTCTTGAGGAGCTATGCCGTAAAGAAATTGCTGCAGCTATATTCTACATACTGTAGTAGCATTTTATACACATCTGCGAACTTTTATCACGATATTTATTTCTACATTTCAAATAAAAGTTGTTAATAATAACATTTAATCACTGTTTTATTACTTACTATTTCAACAAATTTCCGCAGTTCTATTCGAATTTGAATGTAGATTTAGCTAGAACACTTTTAATAAATGTTTTAATTAAAGCAACTTGATGTTACAAATAGGTAGGCTTAGGATGTCTAAGTGATACCTATTGGTGTCTAGCTTGATTTTATTGCCTTCAGGGATCAAATACTTCAAGTGCTTTTAAACGATGGGTTAATACTTAACTAGTATAGTTTAAAATAATTAAGACAGTAATATGTGATTAACTACGGTAGCTAAATTATCTTGTTCTTGTAGATTTAAAAGATCTAACCGGATAGATCGATTAGCGTCTATTTTGATATTCCTCACTTATGTGATAGATATTGGTTCGAGATAGTTGCAGTTAAACTATAATGTAATATTCTTCTAATAAAATATGAATGCAGTTGTGATAGCATGCCATGTAGTCAATTAAGTTTATCAAAGAACATTCCAAATATGAATGGCCTAGTGGTATGAAGTTGGATTTACTGGTACAACGATTCTTAACTCCTAAGGATAATCGTTTTATTTGAGATTCGCATACAACAATTTGATTCTTTTCAATTCAGCACGAGCCAGATTCCAAGTAATGCTGACGTTTTACGTTTCCTTATGGTCATTATTATTATATATATTTCGATCACATCTGTTTCAGATTTTCTTTATAGTTCAAACTACTATAGTTAATTCCTTTATGCATTAGGACTTAATCTTACATTAGATGTAGTGCGATATGTTCGAAGCTTCTTTAAACTTTATCTACCGCAGTCTAATGCATACTATCGGTAGCGATGCCCTTTGCAAGCAGCTAAATTTGAACTTCAACGACAAGATCAGCATAGCCATTTATGATAAGTGAAATTTTCAATGTGTTACTGTACCATTACTCCAAGTCTAAAATGAATGCTTATTACACCCGTAACCTAGAAATATAAATGTGGCAACCGTAACAATAATCCTAAGGTTATGATGAAATACTGAGCCTTAGACAGTCATGACATTGCAATTTATTATTTTTTCTATAATAATTTGAGTAAAAAGTCCTATACCCGCATGGATTCACAAGACATTTGATATCTAAGTAGTAATCATGACCAGTCATAGTTTACGAATAATTTCCAATAAAATATGTTTCCGTTGCATGGTCAAAAAGACAATAATTTTTACTTTCAGTTTGGTATTCACCGGTTTACAGAAGTAAATGAAAATATATAAAAATGAACATCGTTTATCACTTTACATAGATTATGCATGATATAAATTTAACTTTTTGTCATAGTTTTCATCATATCTTAAAACATGAAAATGATATGCAAGGTCCATGTAAAGAGTGACTGACACTGACTTGATCGCGATTATTATTCATGGAGTAAATAGGTTTATAATATTTGGAAGCGCATTCAGAGATTATTCGTTATCATACATTCGAATTTCTTAAATTGTTAGCTATAAAAAATATAGAAATGATTTTAGCAGTAATTCCACGAGAAATAAACAAATCGCAATTGTACCAACCTTGATTTGCTTCAGAATTTGCAGGATTTTCAGCTCTCATAGGCATTCGGGGCATGTTTGGAGGTAAAGGATTACCTAATCGTTGCTGGAATAGTCCTACCGGGTGTCTAAAAGGTGACGGTCTTGGTTGATATGGTAACATCGGTGGTGGAGGCCCAACTGGTCGTCTTGGAATAGGTGACATATTTTGAAGTACTTGAGGAGAATGGGGCAATCCAGCAGTTGGTAGCGATTGATGACGGGGCTGATTATCAGTCTGGTTTAGGTCAGTTGGTGGTCTAATCATTGGCTGGGGTGGCTGTACGAAAAATAAAGCAAATAAAGTAACTCAAGTTTAGACAGCACAGTTAACTATTAGCCCTAAAGTTAGACTTTAAATGAAGTATACATGCATTTACCTCTTGGCCAAAAATAGGAGGATTGCCTAAGGCGCCACAATCAAATCACCGTTAGTAATCATTTTTAAAATATGTCAACACAATTAAATCTTTTTTACTGAAATATACCTGGATTGGATTCGATCATGCTGTCATTCGCAGTACCTTCCCTAGCAGAGCTATCTCTTCGGGGAACAGGGGACTTTAGGTTCGGAGAAGCGCCATCTTGCAAAGTGTCTGCGCTGCTACGCCTAGGTAGTGGACCTATTAGCAAGTTAAAAAGAGATTTGAAATTGACATTTATGTTGTATGGAAGTGAAAGAAAAGTCTATTATTAACCTCGTGGCGGCAAGGACCGAAATGGGAATGGACTGATGTACGCGTATATACAGTAATATAGCAAAATAGTTAGTGCTATGACAAGTTATGTGTACTATAATAAGCAAGAGTATTACCCCATAGATCCAGGAGGCGGCGGCAATGGTCCAGGCCCAAAAGGCAACGTAGGAGGAGCTTGGGGTGATGTCTGGTTGGAGGCTGCAAGAAATTTTACTATTTACTATAGGCTACTATTCATTATTAGCCGCATATTATTTATTACTTGTAAATTTTACCAATAGCAGTTAACATGCATCTAACCTAATGAAGCTGTAGAAGTAGTCGATTCACTCTTTAAGTTATTTCTTTTCAGTTCCGTTAGTCTATAATACAATTACCGTTTCAGTAAGTATGTCAATATACATTACAAGAGATTTACACCAAATAATAAAATAAACTTACTCCTCCTTCACTTGATTAAAATCTTCCTTTAGTTGAGACATTTCCTCATTTTTTTGTTTTAATAATTGACTCGACGTCCATTCCTTTTTCTGTATCATTACGAAAAGAAACAAGAATTAATTTGAGCTACAGTAAAGTTAATCTTTTAGATAAGCTTTTAGAACTTACTCTAGCAGCCTGAGTCTTTTCTTCATAAGTAGCAATCTAAGTAACATCCGAGATGTTAGGATATAAATAATTAATATATATATATGGCAATATTTTAATCCCGACCTGTTTCCTACTTCTGGTTTCAACATCTTGTAGTTCTTGATTTAGTTGATCAATCTTATGCCTACATTAATATTAATAAGTTCTATTAATGTAGTAAAAGTTTCCTAGAATACTGGATTAAATGAACGGTATAACTTACTTGTAATGTTCTACTTCGGCTCGCAGGGCAGAAATGCTACCTTGGTTTTCTGTTACTTCTTCTACTTTGCTACAATGTTGAAAATGGAATTAATCTTATTACAAAAATGAAGCAATCGAATTTACTAATTTCATCTATTATGGTCTTACCCATGTAATTTATGAATGTCGCGTAACATTTGAACTTCCACTTCCTTTATTTTATCTCTTAATTGAGCTAATGAAAGCAAAGTAAGTTTGTTGTTAAATATACTGTAACTTTATAGCGGTTTACTACATTGCTAACCTTCTAATTTTTCCTTAGCCATTTGTTCCTCCCGGACTTTTGCCTTTGTCCTTTCAAGTTCAGCGGCAATCTAAATAACATCATATAGATAATAAATGAAGTAATTTTTCATAGATTTCATAAAAATAAAAATGACTGTCACTATAATCTTTGCATTCATGGCATAATACCTTAACTGAATCTAATACCATTTCTAATTTTTTAGCTTTTGCTTGGGCTTGGAATTAAAATTGAATAGAATTGTTAACAAAATTAAAAACATGATTCTGCTAAAACGAATTAATGGGAGCAAAGTACTAAATTTTGCTAAATAATTACCTTTATCAAGAGATTCATAATCTTCATCATCAATATCTTCTACTTCAGTTAAGATATCACGTAAAACCTAACAGAACGTTAAGCTATTAATTTATTCGGTGCCTAATTACGATATAAATGAAGTAATAATAAATTCCTACATTGATTTCATCGATTTTTCTTTGTAATTTATCTTTCAGGTCGGTAGCTTCGTCGTT